CTTGCAAAGTCACTACAGGGGAAATCTTTTAGACATCCAGGAAAGAAGCTACAGATACTGAAGAAACATTCAAGAGCTGACACCTACAAAGATAATCTTCCTTCTTTTTTTAAAAAAAATTTTGCTATACGATATTCTCTAAAGAGAGAAAGACAGAGAGAGAGAGAGAAAGTAAGAAAACACCACCCAAGAGACCAGCTAAAGGCGTAAGGGTTATGTCTCTGGACTCCCACATAGTCAACCAAGGTTCGAGTCCCATAGCCAATGGCTTAAAACTCATGCCGAGTGCCTGTGTGTGTGTGCCCAAGATCTCAAGAGGAGAATGAAGGAGAGAGGACTAAAGCATGGTGATGCAGAGATTATTCCCATAGGGTGCATGCACTCGCCAGAGACAGAGACACATGGAAAGACAGAAAGGGAAAATTCACCCGCTAGGGGGATGGCCACACCACAATCCCTTCTCCATTCTCCTCTTGGGATTATGAGCATCACATACATGTGCCCGGCATGAATTTCAAATGGCAGGGTCCAGGACTTGAACCACTGTAGGCCATGTGGGAATCCAGCACCTTAATCACTATACCACTACCTACTGGTCCCAGAGATAATGTTCTAAAAAATTTATACATTAGAGAGAGAAACTCTCCCTAAGAGAGAGACTTCAGTATATAAACATACATATATTCATGCCTTTAAATTATACACTTAGCATTTACAGTTGATTTCCCACTCAAACCTAGAGCACTTTCTCTACAGATCACTATTAACATTATATGAATAATTTTCTTCCTTATCTGACAAGTTTTGACTGAGTAATACTACACTTTAAGAAATGCTCTTTTCTAAAATAGTTTGTCTTACTATGGATTCTGAACAGAGACAACTGATGCTTTGAAAACAAAGCATAATTGTGATAAATGTTTTCATTTTTAGTGAATTAAGTTTCATTACAAGAGTGAAGCAAAAATGGGAACAAGCAGTTAGCGTAATGGCTATGTCGCTGGACTCCCACGTAGTCGACCGCGGTTCATGTCCCGGACCCGGTGGCTTAAAACTCACGCCGGACACGTGTGCGTGCGTGCCCAAGATCCCGAGAGGAGAATGGAGAAGGGATTGCAGCGTGACCATCCCCCCTGGGGGGTGATTTCTCGCTTTCTGTCTCTATGTCTCTCTCTGTCTGTCTGGCGAGCGCACGCGCCCTACAGTGAAAATCTCTTCAAAAAAAAAAAAGAGTGAAGCAAAAATAATGCATACATATGTAAGTAATTGGTAAACAATGGAGTGAGACATTATTAAAAAAAATTATGTGTGTGTGAGTGTGTGTGTGTGTGTATGGATTTGGGACAGTCAGATGGTGTGATAGTTAAGACAGCTGACTTCCACATGGCTGACTCCATACTTTGAGTCCCAGACCTGGCAGCTTGAAAAACACTCCAGGTGTATGTGCGTGTGTGCCCAAAATCCTGAGAGGCAAATAGGAAAGAAAGGACTGCAGCGAGGCAATCTCCCCTAGGGGGTGCTTACTCACTTCTCTCTGTCTCTCTCTCTCTCATTTCTTTCTTTCCCTCTCTCTCCCTATAGCAAGTAAATGCATTCTATACCAAACTTAAAACAAAAAAAGACTTCATGGGTTCATTCTATACATTCTATATTTCCCAGATAAAAAGTTTTTGTTTTTATTTTTTGTTATGAGAAAGAGAAGTGGTGGGGAGAGAGGAAAAGTGAGAGAGAGGTATTTCTGACAGGGTCTCATCATTCATGAACCTCTGCCCCAAGCTCCCAGGTAGCTATAATTACAGGTGTATGTACAACCATGCCCAACCTGTCTAGGTTGTCCATGGAAGGAACGTGGACCTTCCACATGGCCCCAGGCTCACATGACAGTGCCCTGTCAGTAGTATTTCTTTAAGTAATGACCTTCACAGAAGTTGAAGGGTTTATCTATGGTATTATCTTAATGACATACTGGGGCCAGCAGGTGGCATGGTGTTTGAAGCGCTGGACTTCTATGTGGCCGACCACAGCTCGAAACCTGAACTTAGTGGCTTGAAACTCATGCCGGGCATGTGTGCATGCCCAAGATCCTGGGAAGAGAATGGAGAAGAAGGGATTGTGGTGTGACTATCCCCCCAGGGGGTGATTTCTCACCTTCTCTCTTACTGTCTCTGTCTATCTCCAGTGAACACATGCAACCTAAAGCAAAAACCTCTTAAAAAAATAATAAAGGAGTCAGAACAGATATGTCTAACATTGCAGAAGCTATAATACATGTATCTCTGACTAGTATAAACAACTAAAGACTATTAATAAAATGGAAAGAGAAACACTTAAGGAAATCTAGCATCCAAATCTAACTAAGATATTCATGTTCCGTTTTGATTCATTCCTCTATTCCTTACATAATCTGAAGAAATAAAAAGATTCAAACATAATTCCTTAAAAGACCAGCAAATGGCATAATGGTTACATCGCTGAACTCCCATATAGTCGATCATGGCTCGAGTCCCTGACCCTGTGGCTTAAAACTCATGCCCGGTATGTGTGCGTGCATGTCCAAAATCCTGCGAGGAGAGTGGAGAAGGGATTGTGGCATGTTCATCCCCCCCCTTGGAAGTGATTTCTCGCTTTCTGTCTCTCTCTCTCTCTGACCCTTGCACGCACACACGCCTGGCGTGAGTTTAAACCACCAGGTCCGGGACTCGATCTGTGGTCCACTACATGGGAGTCCAGTGACATAGCCATTACACTAACTGCTGGTTCTGTACACAAAATGATTTTTTAAAATGCATTATAGGGGCCAGCATGTGGCATGATGGTTCAGGCACTGGACTCCCACAAGGCCAACTGCAGCTCAAGTTCTGGACCTGGCTGCTTGCTTTCTCACTTTATCTCTCTCTCTCCCTCTCTTTCTCTGGTGAGCACATGTGCCCACTAGCAAATAATTTTTAAAATAAATAAATAAATAAATAAAATCATTCTTTTAAAAAATGCATTATAATGGATGATTTTATCATATATTGAACTAGAGATCTTCAAAAACATCAAGGAAATGCATATTATGACAAAATTACACATGGAATTTAAGAATTTTTTTTTTGAGAGGTTTTTGCTATAGGGCACGTGTGCTTGCCAAGCAGACAGAGAGAGACAGAGAGACAGAAAGCAAGAAATCACCCCCCAGAGGGGATGACCACACCGCAATCCCTTCTCCTCCATTCTCCTCTCGGGATCTTGGGCACACACGCACACGTGCCTGGCGTGAGTTTAAGCCATCGGGTCCGGGACTTGAACCACAGTTGACTACGTGGGAATCCAGCGACATAGCCATTACACTAACTGCTGGTCCCTGAATTTAAGAAATTTTTACACTAACATAAACTCATACCTCAATTCCTTTTTCCAAAAACTTTTTGAAGCCCCTTCATATATAATATAACATACAGTACATAGATTATATTAATTACATATAGTATATGATGCTTAATAGTATCAAGAAAATGAGAACTTATAGAAAAAAAGCAATGTCTATTGCTACTGTTAGATAAGTAATAGGCATTGAGTAAACCTCTGTGCTATTTGAGGAGATAACAATGACTATAATTGGACTTCCCAGGTCATACCAAAACTGAGATCTTTTAAACTATTTCTAAGTAAACACATATCAGACTCTTTGGTAAAATGCAGATATAAAGACATAGAAGACAAAAAGGGAAAACTATACTTTTACTAGGCTGCAATGAAGATTTTTTTTTTTTGCCTCAAACTGTCTCAGGACCCAACTCTGCAATATCAGTTTGGAATTGGAATTTCTTTTTTTTTTCCTGAGAGATTTTTGTTAAAGGGCACATACGCTCACCAGAGAGACAGAGATAGAAAGTGAGAAATCACCTCCCAGGGGGATGGCCACTCTGCAATCTCTTCTACTCCATTCTTCTCTCCAGATTTTGGACACACACACACACATGCCCAGCATGAGTACAAGCCACGTCCGGGACTCTATCAGTGCTTGACTACATACGAGTCCAGCAACATAACCAATACGCCATCTGCTGGTCTCTGGAATTAGAATTTCTAGCCTGCTGCCTGCCCTGCAAATCTGACTTGTTGGGGCCAGCAGATGGCATGGTGGTTGAGCTTGACTTATTCTTCATAGTATACACAAAATGATTTCTAAAAACACATTATAGGGGCCAGCTGGATTCCCACATGGCCGACCGTGGTTCGAATCCCAGGCAGGGCAACTTGTTTTCTCACTTTCTCTCACTTTTTCTCTCTCTCTTTCTCATCACATTAAAATAAATATGTAAATAAAGATTAATAAAATAACTCTTTAAAAAAATCTGACTTGTCCGACCCCACAATTTCATGAGCCAATTTCCTTAAAAAATCAATCAATTTCTACCAATCTTTATTTCTGTCCCTTCTTCTCTCCCTGTGTATATAAATTCTCCTCTGTATATAAGTTCCTAGATATAATTTTATATAGTATAAAATGTATTAGTTCTGTCAGTGTGAGCATAGTTTGGATCCTGATTCTGTGAGTTTCAATTCCTTTGTATAGGATAATCCAGTTACCTCTTAAAATATGGTATGTTAAGTAATTAAAGAACTGCTTTGAAAATATAAAATGGTTATATTAAACTAAATCACAACTACTCTAGGAGAATATATAAATAGAAACTGATAATATAAAACAAATCTTGCCACGTAATACTGTGTTACTGAAAAAGTCTTGACACATTTTTCCACAGGAAAACACAGAAAAATATGTCACGACTTTTCTGACAACCCAATATGAAGGGAATGTGTTGGAAAGTTGAAGATATGTATTATACAATTATACTACTGAATAAAGACATCCACAGAATCATGGAAAAATCATTCTAGTTGAAAACCCATGAAATACTAATGATACGATTACAGGTACTCAGTTGAATATATCCAGGAAGTAGTGTACACTCAGATGCATATGACAAGAAATAAAACAATTTGGTACATACTTGTGACAAAGAATTTTTTTGTGAAAGTACAGCTGTCAAATGCAGCAATTTTCTCTTGCAAGACTACGACAAGGATCCTAAAAATCAGAGAAAAAAAACAAAGGAAAAAAGTGAATGAGATTCTACAAATCAAGTAAGTAAATCACCTAGATGAAAACATGTACCTACCAATGCATTTTGAAACTCAAACATTTCTTATAATATTTATTCTATAATTATGTGCCTCCTAAAGCATAAAAAAACTTTATATAACCATGAGAGAAATGACTAAAGAGATGGTAAGATTAAAAACTGTTGACTATTTGCTAAAATGTTTTTAAGTGATGTTTCAGTGTCCTGGAATTAAACATAAAATGGATTTTGGTAATCTAGCATTTAAAATGATCACTGCATTTACCACCACCACACGCACACACACACACAAACACACACACACACAGAAATCAAAGACAACTGCTACTCGGTATTATGAATGACTTAATACATAACATTTACTAAGAAACTGTATAAACAGTATTTCTCCCTGATCCAAAGATTTACAAATAGTCTAGAAAATAATTTATTTTTAAATATTTTTAAAATACAAGTCTTTCTTTTGTTTTGAGAGGATTTTGCTATAGGGCACATATGCTTGCCAGAAAGACAGAGACAGAGAGACAGAAAGTGAGAAATCACCCCCAGCGGTATTGGCCATGCTGCTATCCCTTCTCCTCCATTCTCTTCTTGGGATCTTGGCCACGCATGCACACACAGCTGGTATGAGTTTTATTTTTTTTAATTACATATTTAATTTTATTTATTTATTGTTATTATTTTCTTAAATTTGACCAGATACAAACAGAAAGAGAAAGCAAGCCACCAGGTCTGGGACTCAAACCATCATCAGCCATGTGGAAGCCCAGCATCTTAATCACCACGCCACCTGCTGATCCCAACTAGCATTGAGTTTTAAAATACAAGGCCTGGGACTGGAACCCCGGTTGACCACTTAGGAGTCCAGTAATATAACTATTATGCCATCTGTTGGTCTCAAAGTAAGATTATTTTTATTTAAAATATTTATTTATTTATTTAATGCTACATGCTATTATTTTTTAAATTTGACCAGAGAGAGAGAAAGGGAAAGCAAGAAAAGTGAGCCACTAGGTTTGGGCCTCAAACTGTGGTTGGCCATGTGGGAATCCAACACCTTTAGCCACCACGCTACCTGCTGGCCTGCAAAGCAAAATTTTTGAACTATATCCACAAATAATACTTTAGAGTACAATATTACTTGCAAGATGTGAATATAAATAGCCAAGTTTAATAGTTATTTCAAAAACCCAAGAATGTAATTGTTACTAAATATTTAACATACTAATAGCTTATTTTTCAAAATTGGAAGCGAGAATATCTGAGGAATGGATGCTAATGATGAGTAGAGAAAAAAAGAAAAACACTATTCAATATGCATACTTTATTAATATGTTTTGTTGTTGTTGTCAAAACAGGACAATTTCATTTACTGATACAGAACACTTCATTTTTTTTTGAGAGACTTTAGCTATAGGGTGCGTGCACTCGCCAAAAAAATAGAGAGACATAGAGAAATAGAAAGCAAGAAATCACCCCCTCAGGGGAGATGGCCACGCTGCAATCCCTTCTCCTCCATTCTCCTCTCGGAGTCTTGGGCACACACACACACACACACCCAGCATAAGTTTAAGTAACCAGGTCCGGGACTCGAACCACGGTTGGCTACATGGGAGTCCAGGGACATAGCCATTACGCTAACTGCTGGTCCCTTGGTACGAAACTCTTCTAATGAGTTACAGCCTCTTAATCCTTTTTATATTCAACTAGGTCTATTAAAAACTTTATTTTTTGCTGGGTTGTTTCTTATTACTAAGTAGTAATTTGCTATATGTGTGGTTTGTGTTTATGATGCTGTAGACATGATAAACTTAAAGAAAATAATGTGAGATTCTAGATAAACTTGATGTAAAGTCCATTTCTGTTCTGTTCCTATAATAGAGTCTAATCATCTCACCTTCACATTGTATCAACTCAATGCCTTCTTAACATCATGGCAGAAAAGGTATTTCCATATGTAAATATTATTTATCACGGACTGAACTGCTCCTCCGTATATAATGTTCTGATATAAAATATCAAATAATGAAACACACAAAAAGGAAAATATGCACCATTGTTAAAAGTGAACTAAAATAAAGAAAGAGAGCCAGCCAGATCCAGGGGTATGCATTGCTAAGATACTGAGAACTGCAGACTGGGACCACAGTAGAGGCCTGATTTCCATTCCTACAGAGGTCCCACCTAAAGGAATCCAGCTGCTCTAACCTCTCTGCCACCTGCTGGCCCACCCTGTTGCCTTTTATGATCCATTCTGTGAAAAAGCTCACCTCACCACCACTTACTTCCACTTTATTCTAGTCAATGTGATTTATCAAGTCCAGCCCCTAATAAAAGTTGGAGAAATTAAATTATGCAGGGAGTATTAAACAACCTAAGAATAACTGTAAAGTTGTTGTTTAAGTCATTGTGTAAGTGATTAGATTATTGGCACTCCTCTCACCACAAAAAAATACACACACTCTCCCTTTCTGCCCTCTCAAAACCATTAAAAACCTCATTCCTTTATAGACCAGCATGGACTCTCGTTATCTATCTAAATCAGGTCCAGGTGCAGATGCGGATATAGCTGTTTAAGTACAACTCCTCTCAATCTGAAGACTGGGGGTTAAGGATAAGTTACTGTCCTCCCACGCCACACACAAGTACCAAAAGTATAATGGTAGGATATGCACAAAACAACTGCTAGCTTTAGGAATGGTGCATTTGGGGGTGTGAAGGTAAGGGAGTGGCCAATCTTCTGACAGTGCTATGACCTCATTTCAGTAAGGCTCACTTCATACCTTTGCTTTATTATATTTATTTATCTGGATAAACATTCCCTTTAAAATTGCCTGCCACACTACCAGAGTTTTCAAGGACAGGTGCTCCTATACACTTTCCAGCCCCTTCTGACTCCACAGAGATTCCAACTCCTAGGTCTCTGACAGTTGCCTGGCCCTGCTTCTAGAAGTGACCATGGTTTTTTAATATCTCTCTGTACAATTAAAATCTCACCATACTCTTCTTTCTTCCACACTATCTCTCTACTATGTCACCTCCTGTCACCTATAACATGACTTTCTTTTTAAGAGAAATTTTTGCTATAGGATGTGTGCGCTCACTGGAGAGACAGAAAATGAGAAATCACCCACCCACTCACACCACCCCACCCCCCGGGGTATAACCACGCCACAGTCCCTTCTCCTCCATTCTCCTTGTGGGATTTTGGGTACGCATGCACACGTGCCGGGCCTCAGTTTTAAGATACCAAGTCTGGCACTCAAAGCACAGTCAACCACATGGGAGTCCAGCAACTTGATCATGACGCCATCTGGTGGTCACTTGCATGGCTTCTTAACCAAGCTCTGCTGGTCTTAAATTTAAGATTTCAAGTTATTACAGTATTCTCTCTTTCGTAGATACTAATTAAACATGGCTACAAGTGATTTTGTGTACCGGGTTTTTGTTGATCCCTTTGCTTTGTAGAGAACAAGGGGCAATTCAGACACTGGTGCCAAAATTTATCTATGGGAAATCAGAAAATTTATTATTGTTATTTTGCTTTATTTATTTCTTCCCCAAGAGAGCCAGAGAAAGAGACACACACAGAGAGACAGAGAACAAGAGACAGGCACTGCCAACAGAGTTGTCATACTATAATCGACCTCCAGTCTTCCCCAACAGGAACATAAGCACATGGACACATGCTAAGATGTTCAAGGAGGTTCCGGGCTGTGAGCCCAGGACATTTCCCAGGTGAGTTGTATTAGCACTATCCCACCAGAAACTATTTTTATAACTCTTTTTATTATATACTTAAAGCCACACTACACATATATTATACTGTTAATTTTTGGGTGATATACAATTATAGTATAGAAATTCTATCTCCCTCTCTCCAGCAAACACACACACCCTATGGCAAAAATCTCTTGTCTATGGAACCGGCAGTGGTGTAATGGCTATGTCGTTGGACTCCCGTGTAGTCGACCGCAGTTTGAGTTTCAGACCCGGTGGCTTAAACTCACTCCGGGTGCATGTGCGTGCATACCCAAGATCCCGAGAGGAGAAAGGAGGAGAAGGAATTGTGGCGTGGCCATCCCCCCTTGGGAGGTGATTTCTCACTTTCTGTCTCTCTTTGTCTTTCTGGCAAGTGCACGTGCCCTCTACAATAAACCTCTCAAAAAAATAAGATAAAAAACCTCTTGGGGCCAGCAGTTAGTGTAATGGCTATGTCGTTGGACTCCCGTGTAGTCGACCACAGTTCGAGTTTCATACCCGGTGGCTTAAACTCTCTCCGGGTGCATGTGCGTGCATACCCAAGATCCCGAGAGGAGAAAGGAGGAGAAGGAATTGTGGCGTGGCCATCCCCCCTGGGGGGGTGATTTCTCACTTTCTGTCTCTCTCTCTCTCTCTCTCTGTCTGTCTCTGTATAGCAAAAAAAAACTCCAAAAAATAAAATAAAATAAATAAAAAACCTCTTTTATAAAAGGGGTCAGCAAGTGGAATAGTGGTTAAGGCACTGGACTCCCACATGGCCAAGTATGTCAAGTCCTGGACCAGGCAACTTGAAACTCATGACGGCATGTGTACATATATCCCCAAAATCCCAAGAGGAGACTAGTGGGGAAGGGACTGCAGTGAAGTCATCTCCTCACTTTTTCTCTCTCCGTCTTTGTATGTCTCTCTGATGAGTGTACATTTTTGCAAAAACCTCTCTAAAAAAAAAAAAAAAAAGTAAAATTTAAATCTAAATTGTTTCACTTAAATTTTTTAAAATAGCAGAAAATAAATCATTTACAATGTTTACTTTCTGATAAGATAGAAGATTTATACTTTGTATCTAAAACTTTGATCAAGACATTTGTTGGGCTCACTCTGTGATCTGATGATTAAGGTAAACCAATCCCAATGATCAACCCCACAGATCAAGACCTGGACCCAGCAGCTTCAGAAATATACCAGGCTCATGTGTGTACATGCCCAAAATCTCAATAGGACGTTGAAATTCCCCATGGGGGATGCTTTCTCCCTCTCCCTCCATCACATACATGAGCCTTCTGGCAAACTTTTTAAAAAAACTTTTAAAAGGCAGTAACCATCTTAGTTAGGGTTTTTATTTTTCCCAGAAATAAAAATGCCGAGTAAAGGAAGATTCCTAAAGTTTCTTTTCCACAATGCTCTGTAGTTAATGTGCCATTATCACTAGAGGTCAGGTAAAAATTCAACCTAGAGCTGAATATTTTTCCAGTGATTTTAATTAAATAAATTTTAAAGGAGAAAAATCTATTTAGTCCTGGTATATGGAATAAAACAAAAAAATACTAAAGCTTTGTTTACATTTCAAAAACACATTTTTCAAAATTTTGGTGATTCTTCACAGCAGAATTATATTTTACATTATAAACCTATGAACACATAGAAGCATACGCATTATATATATAAATAAGTTATGCATATAAAAAAATTTTCAGAATACCTAAACATTGTTTGCCTATGTATTTTCTATTAATTTCCATTTTGTTTTTGAAATGTTGGTTATATCCCACTGTACAAAATCCATAATTCCCTAATGAATTATGAACTGAAGTTTAAAAATAGTCATCAAGAAATCTTGGGCTGTTCCACTGGACAAATTTCAAAAGTTTTTTCTCATTTTTTTCTTTTTTAATAAATTTAATTTAGTCAATGAAATTGTTAGAGCTCTCCATGCCTAGGAGGTGTATTACATTATATAAGAAACATTAAAAAGGCTTACCGCTTGTTGCAGTGGAGATCATAAATAGGTGTCTTAAACTGAATGGACTTCACCATCTCCCCAGTACGAAGTGAATATAGATCCACACAGCAGTAAGGTGGACTTGTGCTAAAAGAAGAAAACAGGCCATTATCTTTAAAAGATGGAAAAGCTAGTAAATTCTACATTTGCTTATTAACATAACTTTAAAGCCCCCTCCTCTTTTTTGTAGTTTTTTGTTTTTTGTTTCTATGGTGAGTTTTTGGCTATAGTGCTTGGGCACTCACCAGAGAGACACAGAGAAGAGGGAAGGAAGTAAAAATTCATACCCCAGAGGAAATAGCCACATCACAATCCCTTCTCCTCAGTTCTCCTTGGAAACCTGGGCATACACACACAAGAACACACACCCAGTGTGATTTTCAAGCCACCAGGTCCGGGATCGAACTACAGAGTCAGTCACCTGGGATCCAGCTGCCTTAACCTCTGCACCACCTCCTAGTCCTTGAAGTCCATATTAACATGGTATAAGTAAACTGATTCAAACCTTGCATTCAGTTTATCTTAGCAATACAAAATTGGGGGATGGATAAAAATAGTGTAATTTACCAAATTCATAGCATACAAAAGAAAAATGCTAAGATTATTTCTATAGATGTAGGAAGCATCTGATAAATTTAAAACTCTTTCATGATAAGAAGTACTTTATAATCTTATAGAGGGCACTAACTTTAAAATTAAGAAATAAATTTGCTAGGCAAAAACTTCTTAAATAAGATCCCCAAAGTAGATAAGTGGGATTACATCAGACTAAGAACTTTTTGCATGGCGAAAGACACAGAAATTAGTGAGAATCACAGCCCTCAGAATGGGAAAATATTTTTGTAAACTATGCGTCAGATAAGGGACTGATAACCAGAATACACGAGGAACTCAAGCAGCCTTTCTGAAAAAAGATGATCAACCCTATTAAAAGACGGGAGAATGAGTTGGAAAAACCACTCTCAGGATGACATACGAATAGCCAAAATGCATATGAAAAAATGCTCAACATTCCTCACTGTAAGGGAAATGCAGATCAAAACAACTAGATACAACCTAACCCCAGTCAGAATGACTAAGAATAAAAAAAAAAATGACGGGGACCATGGTGGTTAACGAACTGGACACTCCCATATGGCCAACCACGGTTTGGGTCCCCGACCTGGTGGCTTGCTTTCTCACTTTTTCTCTCTCTCTGGTCAAATTAAAATAAAGAGTAAATAAGATTTAAAAAATTATAAGTACTGGTGAGGGTGTGGTGAAAGGGGAACTCTCGTACACTGCTGTTGGGAATGTAAATTGGTCCATCCACTGTGGATAACAATTTGGAGATTCCTCAAAAATCTACAAATAGAACTTCCATATGACCCAACAATCCTACTCCTTGGTATCTACCCAAAGGATAGAAGAATTCTTCATAGGAAAAGTACTTGCACAGCGATATTTATTGCGGTATTCACAATTGCTAAGATATGGAACCAACCCATATGCCCACAAACAGATGAATGGATTAAAAAACTGTGGCACATATACTCTATGGAACACTACTCAGCCATAAAAAATAACAAGACCCTGGCTTTTGACAGAGTGGATAAATATGGAAGATTTACTGCAGAGGGAAGCAAGCCAGGCTATGAAGGAGAGACACTGTATGTCCCCACTTAATATGTACCAATTTTCCACATTCTATGACCAAAACTGAATAACTATAGGATATAGAAGCACAGAAAATGGTTGTGAATATCAGATATAGTGTGGGAAAAGCATGGGTGAAGGAATAGAGTCTGAGGAAGGACATTAATGAGAAAAATGTAAAGGCAAAAAACATTAACAAGACAAAGAAATGGGGTATTATCTTTTTAAGATAACTTACAGTATAGTCAACTGGACTGTGAAGAAATGTAAACATGTTGGAATATTTACTTTACAAACTAAATGAAGTGACTGAATGTATATAAGAACTTGAAATAAAATAAAATAAAAAATAAAATAAAATAGCAAACATCATATGTAATTATAAAATTCTTAAAGCTTTGACCATAATATAGAGAAGTAGATATGAATACTTTTTTTTTTTTTTTGGAAAGGTTTTTTCACAAGGGGGCTGGTGTTCCCCCCAGAAAGACAGAGAGAGACAGAGAGACAGAAAGTGAGAAATCACCCCCAGGGGGAATGGTCACACTGCAATCCCTTCTCCTCTATTCTCCTCTTGGGAACTTGGGCACGCACGCACGCATGCACATACACCTGGCATGAGTTTAAGCCAGCAGGTTCAGGACTTGAACCATAGTCAACTACATGGGAGTCCAGCGACATAGCCATTATGCTAACTGCTGGTCCCATGAATGCTTATTATCACTACTTCTACACACAGTATAGGTCTTATGCATAAGCTGAGAAAAGCGATTATTGCAAGATCAAACAAACAAACAAAAAACTCATTCTTTGCTGAGGCCTGATTATATAAGTACAAAGCCTGAAAAATTCTCTAAGTCGATACAGTGAAAGCTTCACAAAAATGATACCTCAGTCTGAAATATATATAAAAATGCCAAAGTATATATGGTAAAAAAAAGTAGAGAACGTAAGCAAGCTAAAACACAATAAAGGTACAATCAGAGAACTGATAAAAATACAAAAGAAAAATGAACTAACATGAATAAGTAATAAGAAAAATTTGGGGAGAGGTTTATTGGGTTTGTTATTTTTTTTAAATTTTGCTATAGGGTGCATGTGCTTGCCAGACAGACAAACAGAGAGACAGAAAGTGAGAAATCACCCCACAGGGGAGATGCCACGCCACAGTTCCTTCTCTTCTGTTCTCCTCTAGAGATCTTGGGCATGCATGCACATGCACCTGGTGTGAGTTTTAAGCCACCACGTCCGGGATTCGAACCACGGTCAACTACATGGAGTCCAGTGACATAGCCATTACACTAACTGCTGTTTCCAATAATAAGAAAAACATAAAACCTAAGTCTATGAATATATCATGAAATTAGTAATTCTAGTCAAAATAGTAAAAAACCCAACTGCTGGTCCCCCCATCTCTGCTTTTTATCTCTCTGCTTTTACCCATTTTGGTTACTTAATAAATATGGCTTCATATAATATTTGACCTTTGATGTCTGATCTCTTTCAGCTAGCATAATGTTTTTGAGGATCATCCACATTGTAACCTGTGTCAGTACTTCATTCCTTTTTATGGCTGAATAATAAAATATTTATGTATATACTGCATTTTGTTTATCCATTCATCTGTTGAGAGACATGTGGGAACCTCTACTTTGTGGTTTTCATAAATAAAGCTGCTATGAACATTCATTCACAAGTCTTTGTTTGGACATCTGCTTTCATTTCTATTGGGCATATGCCTAGGAGGAGAATCTCTGTGTCTCAAAGTAATTTTTTGTTTATCTATTTGAAGCAGCAAGCTATTTTCTGTAGGACCTGTATGCACTCTGATCCAGAGTTCAAATGTCTTTACATCCTCACCAACATATTTTCTCATTTTTTTTTTATATTACAACAAACCTAATGGGTGTGAAATTATATCTCACGGTGGTATTCATTTACATCATTCTAATCACTAATGTCATTGAATATATTTTTATATGCTTGTTGGCTATTCGTTTATCTACTTTAGAGAACTGTGTATTGACGTTCCTTACCTATTTTTCATTCATTTCTTGTTTCTGAAATAGAAAGATTCTCAGTGTATTCTAAAGCTACTGGGTTGTCAGAAAAGTCATGATGTATTTTTTTCTGTTTTTCTATGCAAAAATGCATCATGACTTTTCTGAGAACCTAACAGATTATTACTTGATATATTATTTACAATTATTATCTTACATTTTCTGGCTGTTTATTTTCTCTGTTTAAAAAAGTTTACTTACTTATTCTGTAAGTGAGAGACCAAAACAGCACCTACTCCCAATAGGGCTTTGATGCCATGATCCACCCCAGTGTTAGCCAGCCCAGATCATGGGCACGTGTGTGCATTTTCCATTCACTTTCTGAACATCCCACTTGTGTACATTTAAGATAAACACCATTAATTTATCATTTTATTTTAACTTTTTTTTACCAGAAAGATTTTTACTGTAGAACATGTGTGTTTGCTAGAGACAGACAAAAAGCAAGAAATCTCCCCCACCCGAGGGGGGTTGGCCATGCCGCAATCCCTTCTCCTCCATTCTTTCTTGGAATCTTGGGCACGCACAAATGCGTGCTTGGCATGAGTTTTAAGCCACTGGTTCAGGACTCAAATGACATTGACTACATGGGAGTCCAGTGATGTAACCATTACACCATCTATTGATCCCATCTTTTTATTATTTTAATTTGCCAGAATGTACTTGCACTTTCCAGAAAGAGACAGAGAGAGCAGAGAAATAAAGCACCTCGAATGGGGTGTGGTCATGCTGCAATTTTTCTCCATTTTCCAATCCTGTCGAGATTTTGGATATGCACACACATGTACCTGGTATGTTTTTCAAGCTGCTGGCTCAGGAATTTGAACCTCATGGCCATGCAGATCCCTTAGCCATGGCATTGGCCAACTTATTTCCTGCTGGCCCTAAAAGGCTTATAATTAACTTATATTTAGGTCATTGGAACATTTTGAATTGACAAATAGAGGTCTACTTCATTTTTTTTGCATGTGGATATTTAGTGTCCCTGCTAATATATTGAAATGACTGTTCTTTCTCTATTGAATGAACTTGGTACTTTTTTCTTTTTCTTTTTTTTTAAAGCATTTTTTTTTTAAATTTTGTTTTCTGGAGTTTTTTGGTATAGGGCGTCTGTGCTCACCAGGAAGACAGAGAGAGACAGAGAGACAGAAAGCAATAAATCACTCCCTAAGGGGGGATGACCACGCTGCAATCCCTTCTCCTCCATTCTCCTCTCAGGATCTTAGGCATGCATGCACACGCGCCCAGTGTGAGTTTAAGCCACCGGGTCCGGGACTCAAACTGCAGTTGACTACATGGGAGTCCAGCAACATAGCCGTTACGCTAACTGCTGGTCCTTATTTTTTAATATTTCACCAGAGATAGATAAAGAGAAAGGGAGAAATCAAGCCA